ATCAGAGTCATCTGCTCAACACAGCAAGTAGTTCCAAATATCTCTTGTGAGATCCCTTTAAAAATAGTGTTTCCCACAAAGATATTGCTGGCTGAGTATATGGGCCTGACTGGGCTTTTAGTTTAACTGCAAATAAAGCCTCATCTACTGAGTAATTCTACATTTGCAACAGATTATATATCTAGAGAAAATAAAGAGAAAATATACACTTGTCTTCTTCACCTATTTGAACTGTAAGTTGTTCAGACAAGGGACATTTTCTTTACGATTTTACAATAAAAAGGGCCTTAATAGCAACTAGACTACTAAAAGAGTAAGTAGAAATAATTAATGAAAAAATGTCAAAAATATCTGAGGCTCAGTAAACCAGAAGTCTTTTATATTTAAGAACAGAATTCCAATAACTTTTCTTTACTTTAGACTGTTGTAACAGACACCTGCAGCAACAGGGACAAAATTAGCCTGCCTTTTCCAGATCTCCAGAAATTTCAGCTGGGACAAATTCTGGGTTTATATAAAGAACCACACACAAATTGTCAGTGTACATATGTTATCTCTCATCTTCAAGGAATACTTTAAGACACTGAAAGGAACAGATTAGAGCCAGAATAAATATACTATCCACTCACTGGGGAAGTGTTATGTATTATACATCTGGACAAGTCAAGAGAAAAATCCTGTCCCATAGGAGGGCTTTCCACTGCTCCCTTCATCAGCACAAAGCTGCCATAAAGACTTCACTGGTCACCTTATCTTGGCACTGCAGAGCTCATCTTACAGGTTTGGATGGTTGACAGTTCCACCTCCACTTCCCTTACTGTCTGGAGGAGAGGGAGCATGGTACCAGACACCCACCACCAAAGCCATTCCTTGTTGTCAAAATAGTTTTTGTGAATGTCAGACCTGCCGTCAGAGACTGTGCCTGTGTTGGTGCAGTGTTGGTGATCCAGCTCTGGAGGGTGGCTCAAAGGCAGAGAAGCAGCTCCAATGAGACATCTTGTTGGACCAAGTCCTCCTGGCCACTGCTGAAGCTAATTAGACTGACTAACTTGATTCTTCTGCTCTGAGAAGTTTGGATAGTAACACCCCTCTTGCTTTATTAGGAGGGCCTACATACCCCCATAGCATAGGGTCCAGGTCAGAGTAATTTCTGTAAACTTAGGCAGTCCTACGTGTAGCAACACCTGATCATGTCATGTCAAGGTGATGGCAGTATTTATTCCTTTCTCCATCGTTCCTTTCTCCACCAGGTTGTGTTTCTGACAGTTGGATCTGCTACGAAGGCTAAAGCTCCTTAAAGTGCAGAAAGTCTTTTGGCAACTTTCCCCTCAAGCTGTGGCAGCTGAGTTCTTGGTGCCTCAACAAGTGCCCTTCCCATCTGTGAGAGAGATGAGGCCCTCCAGCAGCAAAAATAGGACTTTCCAAAAGCGCTACTTACAGCTTTAAGCTGAAATACAGCATTGCAGCCACAAGCTGCCCATTAATGAGAGCAGCTGGAAGATTCAATATGTGACCGTCCAAAAGACCTCTAGGGAAGGAAGCATAGCATGCCAGGTTGGATAAATCCTTCTGTCATACCTCAATAACAACAAGTACCTTCAAAATATTCTCTAAAAGTGTGAAGAAACGTATGCAACAACTCCCATCTCAACACATTATTGCACTGCGAGTTACTTATACAGAACTCTTCCTATTCACTTGTTTCATGAACTGTGTGGGACAATACCAGGAAAAGGCTGAGTTTTTTAAGCAAGGAGAAATATTTCCTCAGTTTCTTTGATTGCAGCTAGCTTTCCAGTCACACACTCACAGACTGGCTCTCAGACTCTCTCTTCCAAACTTTCTTTTACTCCTTGTGTGCTTTCCTACACATCCTATGCAGACTGCTGGGCTAATGAGATAAACTGGAGCTATGCAGAGTTTATGTAACACCGGTGCTGTACAGCTACTGAAACTGAGATGGAGCAGTGAGGTGCTCTAAGTAAAGAAGGCAGCATTCATTAGTGATGGATTAGAATCCATTTATAAAATGTGATTCAGGCACCTAAATTTAGGTGTGCACTGTGTAGTTGTCTATGATGAGGCATGAGTGTCTGTGGTACCATTATATGTATAAAGAAGCTTGAAGGGTAGTTCAGCTTCCTAAATCATAGGTGTTCTGTGCTATTTGAGACTCTCAAGAGCACCTATTACAGAGAACTCACAGTGAATTTGTGTCCTGCTGCAGGGCAAAGATCCTGCTAGAGACCAGGCAGGATGACCTTGGGTTAGGGACTCCAGTTTACTTGCTCACATGTGGGCATCTGTAGTGGGTTGATCCTGGATGGATACCAGGCACCCACTAAAGCCACTCTCTCGCTCTCCCTCTGCAACTGGACAGAGGAGAGAATAAAAAAAGCTAAGGATTCATGAGTTGAGATTAAAGGTGGGAGAGGTCGCTTACTGATTAGCTTCACAGGCAAAACAGACTCAAAGTGGGGATATTATTAAATTTATTACTAACAGGATAAGAGACGAAGAGCGGGAAATAAAATAATCTTAAAAACACCTTCCCCCACCACTCCTTCCTTCCACGTTCTCCGTCCTCTCCCCAAGCTGTGCATGGGGAAGGGGAATGGGGGTTGTAGTCAGTTCTTGTGTTTGCTGCTGCTCAGAGAGAGGAGTCCTTCCCCTGCTCCCGTGGGGTCCCTCCCACTGGAGACAGTTCTTAATGGACCTCTCAGGCATGAGTGCATCCCTTGGGCAGCAGTTCTTCCCAAACTGCTGTCCCATGGGTCACTTCTCTGTGAGATGCAGTCCTACATGGATGAGCTGTACCGATGTGGGTCCCTCACATGGGCCATGAGTCCTACCCAAGAAAAACCTGCTCCAGTGTGGGCTTCCCTCTCCATGGGCTGAAGGTCCCCAGCAGGACCCTGCTCCATCCTGGGCCTCCCACAGGATCACAGCCTCCTTCATGTGTCCACCTGCTCCAGGATGGGCTCCTCCATGGGCTGCAGGTGGATCTCTGCACCCCGATGGTCCTCCATGGGCTGCAGGGCCTCAGCTCCTATGCCTGGAGCACCTCCTGCCCCTCCTTCTGCACTGACCTTGGTGTCTACATTGTTGTTCCTGTGTTCTCACTCCTCTCTTCCCTGGCTGGAATTCTTCCCACTCAATACTTTTCTGTTCTTAAACATGTTATCACAGAGGCATTACTACCACTCCTGACTGGCTTGGCCTTGGCCAGCAGCAGGAAACCCATCCTGGAGCTGACTGGCATTTCTCCATCAGACAGGGGAAGCTTCTAACAGAAGTCATCCCTGTAGTCCCCCTGGCTACCAAAACCCAGCCACAGAAACCCACTGCAGCATCCACTACCATTTGAGATGCTCTAGGAAATCCAAGGTATGTACAAGGCTAGAAGACACGGTAGAGGACCTTTGCGGGATACGTGCCCATCTGAAATGACAGACAAATATGTCTGTGCAGGTAAGACACCCTGCCCACCTCAACTGGCTCTAATATATAAATATTAGAGAGTGACTGAACAATATCCTTGTCTAGGCAATGAACCACATCCCTAGTCAATGCAGTTGGGAATGCAGATGCTGACGTCTGTTCAGTAATCCTCTAGACTCATTAATTGCAGTGACAGGTTACCCAGGATACATGGTGGGCATTCATAGACATCGGTCTAGTGTCTGCCCTAGAAGTATCTTGCCTAGTGTCCAGTTGCTGCTACAGAAGATGAAATGTCTCCTGAGGGCCCTGTGTCATACACACACTGCATGATAATGTTCCAGAGGCAAGAAAACATCTCAGACAGCACCAGGAGCCTGTTTTTAGGTAACTGAATCCTGCAGTAGATCACCATTTGGTTACAATAGCACCCTCACTACCAAACTCACACAGTGACACTCTGTGGACACCTTATTGTACAAGCCTGAACCGAACCTCTACCTCTGCTCAGAGCCTTCCATGCTGTAACATTTCAGACCACAGCCTGTTCCCTTACTTTGTGTCTGCCACCATGGGACCCTGATCTCAGTTCCTTCTCCCACCTGTAATGAAATACCACAACTGAATCATAGAATGAAATCACAGAATATACTGAGTTAGAAGAGATCCATGGGGATCATTTAATCTTACTACTGACTCCACACAGGGCAACCCAGAAGCTAAACTATATCTAAGGCTTGTTCAAATTTTTCTGAAACATCAACAAGTTTGGGGCCATGACTGCTTCCCTGGGGCACTTGTTCCAGTGACTGACCACCCTCTCAATGAAGAGCCTTTTCCTAATGTCCAATTTAAACTTCCTCTGATGCAGCTTTAAATGATTGCCATTCATCCTATCAGCAGACACCAGAGAGAAGAGATCAGCACCTCCCCCTAGCTGTAAACAGCAACTCATGCTGGCTCAGCCTGATATCCTGCTTGTCCAGCATGTGCCACATGATGGCACTCAAAATTATCTGTTCCATGACCTTCCCTGGCACAGAGGTCAGACTGACAGGATTGTAGTTCCCTGGATCCTCCTTCCAGCCCTTCTTGTAGAGGGCCATCACATTAGCTCACCTCCAGTCAACTGGGACCTCCCTGGTCAGCCAGGACTGTTGATAAATGATGGAAAGTGAGCACTTCCACCAGCTCCATCAGTACCCTTGCATGGATCCTATACAGCCCCATGAGTTAAAATTATGTTAGTTACAAGTAACTAAAAAACCTCTCACTATTGAGAGAGTAAGAAACTTTTTTTGAGGCTAAGCAAATCTACCTTCAGAGAAACTGCCTATGAGCAAATTACCATTTGCTATTTCAAGTTCCCTGCAACATCCAGAATCACAGTGACACAGAGAACAGAAACCTTCATTTTTTCTCCCACTCCCACCTCTTTAATGACTTACAAATCTCTTCAAGAACCCATTTAAGCCCCTTTATCTGCTGAATTCCTGAGTTTCCCCTGCCTTACTGATTCAACCAGATCTGACTGAAAATGGATAAAAGGTGGTGAATACCTGGTTCACTGGGTACAGGTTTCAGTGTTGTTCTCTGGTCTGGAGAGAGAGTATCCTCAGACAGAGTCCTCCAAGTGTCATTAATTCTGCACCTGCTCAGTGTGCCCAAGGTATCATCTGATTTTTTATTTTTGTACAATTTCTAAAGTATCTCATTATTATCTTGGCACCTGGGGACTGCAGTTTGCAAGAAGGATTCTGTTTCAGGCCAGGATGAATTATATTATGGTTCCAAGGCATGTTTGGCAACTGCTAATAGTGGTTGACTATTTTTAGATATTTTTTCTGTTCTTCTCTCTTTTCAAATCTGTCCTATTTAAATTCTTTTTTGTTTCCCCCGCAGAAACAGAGATTTCAGACCAGTAATAGTTTTCACTCAGATTTTGGGGTATATTTTTACTGCTTATAAAAAGAGTTTTTCATTAGATTGCTTCCACTTTGATTTTTCTAAAACTGATATAACAATTTTGGACGTAAATCTGTATCTCTTTCATGATGTGACAGTATCTCTCAGAATAGAGTCTGAATTCCTATCTAAACCATTTGTTTACATGGGATTTTTTTTCATATATCCAAGAATACCTGGTTTTGACATCTGAATATGAAGTTTAAATCTTTTTGAGGGTCCTGCCCATCAATCTTTGCTCTTTATTTGCATGCTTTTGGATTTGCACTATTCTAAGTCACAAAACCAAATTTAGTGACCCCCTCAATGTCTGAAACTGGCTGGGACCCTTTTCGGAGCCAAGAGTAGCAGAGTGAGCAGAATTTGACACCTTCAGTACCAGCAACAATAAGCAGAAAAACCCCTACTTTCTCAGTATTATGTCACCTGAACCCACACAGGCAGGCCATTGCCCCTACATGGAGCTAATGTTGTCTGTGAAACCCATGGTTCTGAAAAATGAAAGGGGGGTAAGGGATAATTTGGATGAAAAATGCACAGTATATTTTCCAAGGCAGCTGCCAAAATTATCACACATCCATACAAACAGAGAAAAAAATGGTGCAGTAATGATACTAGATCCTCTCTCATGCCATTTTTAGCATCTGTGACGACATTCCCAAAGGAAGAGGATGTACTCTTTAGTATACTTTAAGTGTACCAACAGAGTACAAATTACATTAATATGCCACGCAAAATTGACTTGGCAAAGCCAAAAACAGAGATCTTGTTTACTCTCCATTTCACAGGTATCACAGGTTTTTGATAACTGCTACAAGCTTATTATAACACTGGGGACAGGTAGGCAGACATCTCACTGTGTGACACATAACAAAGGAGCCATCTGTGACCTGTTGTGCATCGTACATAACAGAGTAATATCTTCACGAAATATTTTCCCTTGGAATATTTTTAAATCTACCTGATTTTTGACTGTCAGAAATATCCATTTTTGGCTGCTAGAATTCTCTGGAGAGCTGCTGTGCAATGGAGCATGGCAGATGGTGGAAAATCTGACCTGCTTAATGGAGAGGTTACAGGTTGCACATGAGAAAATGGAACATGCTTTTTTTTTTTTTTTCTTGGTAGCTCACTACTAGAAGCTTCTTCAGTGCTGTGCAAACATTTATAGACTAATGTTGCAACTGCTGCATGTAGATTTACAGACAGGAAATGAGAAAGTTAGAATTACAACTTTAATAAAAAGGCCTCAATCTAGCAATGTGGGACTTAGTTCTTGTCTCTCTTGCTCTTGTATAAATCAAGATTAAGATACATTTTAAAAGAAAGAACTTACCCTGTTGTAAATTTGTGAGATCAGGCTGTGGCTCCTGATCTGAATGGATGAGAAAGATCTAGTCAAATAAAGGAACAACTATTATTAGTCTGTGTTTACTTAAAATATTTATGAAGTGCGTGACTACATTACTTTGAGTACACTTGCCTTGCAATAAAATCAGAAATTCCATACAACAGAAAGGATTGTCATTTTTATTGTATTTTGATTGTATTCTACATCCCCAGTAACTCAAGCAGCCCCCTCTTCTGTTTGCACAATACAAGGCATAAAAGCATGTGTAGGTAACATTGAGCATTTGGAGAGCCCAAATGCTGTCAGTGTATTTGAGGGACAACATGAGAGGAAATCCCCATCCCAGCTTCGTCTTTACCTGCTAGTCCTGCACTCCAACTGAGTCCTGCTGTTTCTTGTAAGATACGTATCTGGCAAGATAGGCATTGCATTTCTGCTGAGTTTTCAAATAAGTGGAAACAAGCCAACCAGTAGCTTGCAGCCAATTAAACAATTGCCCCAGTTCTTCACATTTCAAATATTAGATTGTACTGATGCAGAAACTTTGCAGATGCTGCAACTCCATATTTGTGGGTTTTGGAGTCTGATTTCCTACTTGGTTCAGGAGAGTTTCTGAGAAATTTCAGCTATCTAGCAGGGCTTGGAAATTTTGCCGTGAAATACAAGGTGGTGGTGTCCTGATGGTGTTCTGTTAGTAAAAGAAAAAAACAAGCAAACAAAAAATTTATTTATGTGTCTGAGACAGCACAGATGGTTATAACCATTTCCCAGCTATATGCTTGATTTACTTATTCCAAAATTAGCACTAATCACAACTCAGTCTAGTGAGAATTGCCTTAAGAGTACTGTAGGAATTGCTGTCTAATGGCCTGGAGAGAAATAGCTTAAGTGCTAGAAACTCAACACGAAGTGCCACTCACAGCTACAACAGCCAGCTTCAAAAGGGATTGAAGCAGCTAAAATGCATATCCAGGCTATTGGAAAAAGCATGTAAGGTGTTCACTACTTTACTGAGCCTAATGTGAGAAAAAGATCATCCTTTTTCCATTTTCCATTTTTTCAGTTATAGTGTCTCTTCGTAGAGAGCAGGGAACCAAAACCGCACACACTATTAATGGGTCTATGCTGGAGCATAATGATGCTTTCTCTTTCAGTAGTTCTTCCTTCCATAATAAGCCCTGTCATTTGATTTGCCTTTTGCTTTCCACTGACATTTTCAAAGCAGTAAATGCAGAGACAGCAGGATGTCTTTCCCAAGTGGTAATACGTAATTAAAAACCTATCATTGCACAAGCATAAGGTAGAATTCTTTTTTTCCAAAGCATTAGTTTACATTCCTTAATGTAATCTCATTTGAACTCATTATGGCTCTTCTTTCTCAGCTCATGGCTCCTGCTTCTTATGTGCACATCTGTCTTTCTCTCCTTTTCCAGACACAACTGGGTATAATAATGTTGGCTTTGACACAACTTCCTAGCAAGGATGTTTAAAATACAGGCTTCTTTCTAGCAAAGCCAGGGCTTCAGCTGCCACAGATTTCATTGCCAGACTTCTGCCCTATGCTACTGACAAAAGCTTTAAGGACTGCAGTGAGGTCCCTGTGAAGATTGCCATCATGAACAGGGTCTTTTTGGGTTCCTGCTTATGCCAGGTGATCCTGTTCAGCAGTCTTGGTCATGTTCATTCGTTGGAAGATCACTTAGTGCTACTTGGGAGAATGGTATGAGGGTAAAACCCCTGTATTACAGTCCTCACTGTTGGAGAGCAGCAGTGGCTTGCTCCATTTGGGGAGACAAGAGGGACAGCAAGGCAGGCAGGAGCAGGGACCAAGATTGCAGCCCCCCAGTACTCAAACACATTCAGTGGCATTGACCCAAGTCAGTGGAGAGTGCAGAATGGCAGGGAGCTCTGCAGTACAAGGCAGGTTTGAGGTCAAGCTGGGAAGCCAAGTGAGCAAGGCAAGGTCAGAATAAGCAAGGTCAAAAGACCAGGCACAGGGGTACATACAGCTTAGCTCAGACAATGACCAAGGGTGAGTGCCGAAACTTCAAAGCAACTCCTGAGCCAAGGAAGGGAAGGTCCTTTACAAGACTTCTCATAGCTTTCCCACACAGCTCTTTTCACAGCATCCTGGTCCTAGGCTAAACAGCTACACCACATCAGGTCTGGCCTTCAGCACACAGGCCACTAAATTCCTGGGGTGGTGAGGGGAGACACTGAAGAGCATCTTCATGCAGTCAGGACCCTGAGATTTATATCTTGTTCCTTTACTTTCAAAAGAGGCCCAAAATTGCCTGTGCTCCAAAAGTGGTACTGGAATATGAAGTTGCTAATGAACGATGGAAGGGCTTAGGAGAGTTGTCAAGTTAGCACTGGAACAAGTACCACCAATTTCCTGGGAGACCATAGTCCTTGAATCCCCTGGGTCTCCTCTGAGGAACAGATGCAGTGTTCTAACCACTGTACCTCATTTATTGGTTCAGGCAATTGTAATGGGTTTCTCATTCCCTCCTGAAGACTTAGTATAAAAATGCTTTCTTGGTCTCTGGCCAATATTTCAGGCATTATCAGAAATAATGGAAAAATCTGTGTTGCTCTTTGAATGATCATAAACTGGTCATTTTAGAAGATAATCTAAGGTAGAAATACATTTTAATGGTCATAGCAATAAAATGCTATACATTTTCATTAGTCGGTAATTTAAATAAAACACAAAATACAAGAAATGAAGAATTTTCATGCTTTGTTAGTAAGGATTGGTTCAATTAGTATGATTTTCTAAACAGAAGGCTTTGAGCTTGCCCAGAGAAAAAGATGCAGAGTATTATTCGTATGAGTAAGCCATTGATCGAACTAAACAGTTCACTGGAATAAGGTGCTTTATGTCCACTGAATCAGATCCTTGGATTACATATTTTGTATCAATTTTCTACATTCTCTCCATTTCAGACCCAATTCCTTTTTAATGACATAAGTAAGACTTTTGAAGCTAGTGTGAAAAAGCAAGCTGTCACCATCTCAGAGAGGGGTTTCCTTGCAAGTAGGAATCATTATTTTCATGGTAATGGCTTAGTTCTTAATAGCTTAACTCTCAGGCAGAGTTTAGAGAGGACTGAGTTTAGAATGTATAGAAGGAATCTAACTATTTACATGAAAGCAAATCTAATTAGAGTTCAATACCTTTAAAATGGCTAAATTATGCATGGTGTTGGGATGGGTTGTGCTGACTGAAAATCAACACTGGCATCCCTGGTGGGGAATAATAATTATTTAGTTTATATGTTTGCCTTGCTCTCACAGCGGGAAAGA